GGGCGGGGCACCATTCCAGGGGCGGGCGGAGGTGGTGGCGGGCTCTCCTGGCCAACGAGCAAGCTCGCGGCCGGGAACCCGAAGAGCTGGGATCACTGGAGCCTGGGCCAGTAGTTGCCCGTCAGGTCCTGGGTCTGCGACGGAATCTGCACCGGCACTGATACGCCTGCTGATATCACACCTGGAACGAAGTAACGCCACACGTCTTGTTACGTGGATTTTGATATTCTGTTCTGTAATCCTGCGGAGAAATCTTGAGGAATTTTGAAAAAAATTTTTTTATTCCATAATCTGCTCGTCAATCGAACGGCTCGTGAAAATGAAAAATTTTTCTTCAAAAATATCTCATTGCTCGGTACTCGTATTCTAAGGCAAATTGTTTTTCGAAACTTTCAGTATAAATTTCATGCATCGAGAAATGAGCACGGCATTTATTACTAGTCTGGTTAGTAGTCATGGTCTCACTGGTAAGTAGCAATTTTCAGAAAAAATATTCGTCGCTGAGTCAATAAGAAATTACCGTTGAAACGGCAATGGTTGCTTGTCTATGTTAAATATATTTACATTTACAACAATGCTAAATATATTTAGAACACGTGTCTTCTGAATAGCATACAATAATACTGCAGTAATATAGTCAGTCTTATTCCAAGCTGTTTGTCGTCCATTTTCCACGGCATCCGAGACTCCCTGCTAACCAGACCAGTAATCATTACCTGTTTCCATTTTCCGATGCGGCTCGTTCTATTCTATTATTTTTATCAAAAATTTCCAAAATTCGTATTTTCGTATTTTCATTACCAATTGATTTATTCGATCCCCTGTACACTTGTACCTGTTTCAATCGTAAGCGTCCGTCACAATCGCATATCTATAAATAACGTGATGCACGTGCACGTATCAGCAGTATTGCGTCCGATCGTAAAAATTCTTAAGCCGAGTATCAGCGCATGATCTGACATTGGTATAGTAAATGTGATATCGGAGGTAAAATAAAAGTTCCTCGGGAGAATTTCGTAACTAATATCACCAAAAAAAAAAAATGCACGCAGCTCCATACGGCGAACGACGTAATACGAAACTTTAAGAAAAGACACTATTAACTTCGAAATTAGATCCGATCGGTATCATTTCGAAAATCATACGGAGATGCAAACGATCCCGCTATCCCATGTGATAATAAAGAGAAAAAACGGTCGATCATCTCCGCTTACGAAAATCAGCTGTTCCAACTCCAGTATCGAATACCGGAAGGTCATCGCTTGAGCATCGAGCGTCCCCTGCATCCTCGTGGAATTCACGAACGGAATTCGGGAGGTAAAGTTTTGTCGTTCGTAAACGTAAGACGATTATGATGGATAACGCGAACCATTCGCACATAAGAAGGCCATTCGAATGTTCCATCGTTCCGACGTTCCACTCGAGTCCCGTAGGTATATATATACTGGCGTGCTATATATACATATATACACAACCCTATTTCCTCCCCTTTGGGTTCGCACGTTATTGAGCGCTCGCCCAGCCGAGGCGAGACCCAACCCATCCACATCCTCCGTTCACCGCGCTAGCAAGAGGGCCAGAAAGGAGGAGGCATTGGCAGTGGTAGTGGTGGTAGCACTGATGGTAGTAACGTTGGTGCCGGTGCTATGGTACCACTGCCAATGGTGGTGGAGGTAGAGATGGAAATGGTGGTGGAGGTAACACAGAGGAAGCGGCGGCAACTAACGGTAGAGGGTTGGCTCTCCACAGCCCGCGGCTTTTGCTAAACGGAGGATGTGAGAAACGAGAAAATAGAAAATTCGAGGGGAAAACCACTGAACATCCCATTCTTCGATTCAGCCGGCGGCGCCATGCGAGATTTGTTTTAAAATCCTTTCGCGATTCCAGCGGTCTTCCCGGTAAGCACTAAGCGCGATACAGCATACAACTTATGTAGATTCCGTGCGAACTGAGCTTTTGGATAATTCTGGGCTGTTAACTTTTCTCTGTTTACTCGTAAACGTGAAATCGTGCCGAGTATAAGAGTGCATTCTGTTTTTTGCATTGTCACATTGCTCCCGAGCTCTTATAATATAATTGCTGAACAACTCAAAATTCGTTTTCTGTATTGCAGCAATATTTATTTTTTTTTTTTTTCACAAAAATCTCAAAGTAATCGTTGAATCTTTATTTGTACAGAAATCACTACGACGCATAATATGTGAATGGTAAAAATTTTTTCTACAAGCAATTTTTTGAATTAAACAAAAATTCATTTTCGTGCATAAATATTTAATGGTCGTTTGTATACTTGAAAATAAAAAATGAACGATATTACCTGCTTTTATTATAAATGAATGGTAGGTACGCGGCTCGTTCGGCTACTTGATACTTCAATCCGAATGCACACATTAAACTTGTGTTGCACGGTCGACGTATCTCAGCCGGGGCAGTAACGTCGAAGATTACCGTGAACGCTTTCGCGAATTAGTTAAACTTTAATTCGCTTAAACCGCCGCGGATCGTGCGAGCCAAACGATGCCCGGGTAATGCGAAATAAATGTTACTGAAAGCCAAGAGGCGATTGTGAAGTTTGCAAAATGGAGAGCTGCAGATTCTGTTAGCAGGATTTTATAGACGTGCCAACCCCGCTTCGTGGATTTCACATTTTCAGAGGAACGAACGACTTCCCTGTCGAGCTAAATAACTACGGCTCAACGCGCTTCTCGACTGGCAACATTATAATGACCCACCTGTGTGCGGACATTATATCGCAATCGTGAGAATCGTCCTGCAAGCACCCTAGCTTCGTCACTACATATCATAGTACGATGCCTATGGAAATAGAAAATTCAAAAATTGCCATAAGTATAGTAAGTAAAAATTTCTGCCAAGGAAATAACTTTGAGATTAACGGTATATAGATTTTTCAAAATTTGGTAACGTATACATTGTAACGTAATTCTTTTCCTTAACTCGACACCGATAGCAAAGCATCCGAGAACGAACTATCTTCGAAAACCAACCTACGTTACCTTCGGCCGTCCACCCGTCGTTCGTGCATCCGCAAGCCAGGCGGGCGCCAGCCAATTCTTTTT